CACCTGTCTGATTATATTCTCTCTTTTTTTAAAATTTTTTTCTCAGTTTTGGGTCTCTTCTGATTTGTTTAGTGTATATTTCTCAGGGGTCACTGTTCCCATTTTAGTATTTTGTTTTCTCATCCATCTATACTTCTCTGAACAGAATGACAAGACAGAAAAACTCACCTCAAAAAAGAGAAAAAGAGGCAGTACTGACTGCCAGGGACCTAATCAGTATGGATATAAGTTAGATGTCAGAACTAGAGTTCAGAATAACAATTATAAAGATAATAGCTGAGCTTGAAAAAAGCATAGAAGACACTACAGAATCCCTTTCTGGAGAAATAAAACAACTAAAATCTAATCAAGTTGAAATCAAAAAGGCTATTAATAACATACAAATAAAAATGGAGACTAACTGCTAGGATAAATGAGGCAGAAGAGAGAATTAGTGATATAGAAGACAAACTGATGGAGAATAAAGAAGCTGAGATAAATAACTACTGGATCAAGAGGGGAGAATTTGAGAGATAAGTGATACCATAGAGCCACACAATATTAGAATAACTGGGATCTCAGAAGAGCAAAGAGAGAGGGGGGCAGAAGTTATATTGGAGCAAATTATAGTGGAGAACTTCCCTAATCTGGGGAAGGAAACAGGCATTCAAGTCCAGAAGGCACAGAGAACCCCCCTCAAAATTAATAATATAGGTCAACAGCCCATCATATAATAGCAAAACTTGCAAATCTCCCAGAGACAAAGAGAAAATCCTGAAAGCAGTTCAGGACAAGAGGTCCATAACCTAAAAGGGTAGGCACATAAAGCTGGCCCCAGATCTATCCACAGAGACCTGACAGGGCAGAAAGAACTGGCAGGATATATTCAGGGTGCTAAATGAGGAAAATATGCAGCCAAGAAAAATTCATCCAGTAAGGCTGTCATTCAAAATAGAAGGAGAGATAAAAAGCTTCCAAGATAAACAGAAATGAAAAGAATTTGTGATCACTAAACCAACCATGCAAGAAATATTAAAGGGGATCCTTTAAGTGAAGAGAAAGCCCCAAAGTGAAATAGACCTGTGGGAACAGAGACAATATACAGAAACAGTGACAATACAGGTAATACAATGGCACCAAATTCATATCTTTAATAGTTACTCTGAATGTAAATGGGTAAATATTCCAAACAAAAGACACAGGGTATCAGATTGGATAAAAAAGCAAGACCCATCGGGGCGCCTGCATGGCTCAGTCGTTAAGCGTCTGTCTTTGGCTCAGGTCATGATCCCAGGGTCCTGGGATCAAGCCCCGCATTGGGCTCCTCACTCTGCGGGAGGCCTGCTTCTCCCTCTCCCACTCCCCCTGCTTGTGATCCCTCTCTCGCTGTGTCTCTCTCTGTCAAATAAATAAATAAAATCTTTAAAAAAAAAAAAGCAAGACCCATCAATATGCTGTCTGCAAGAGACTCATTTTATATCTGAAGACAGCTCCAGATTGAAAGTGAGGGGGTGGAGAACCATTTATCATGCTAATGGACATCAAAAGAAAGTTGAGGTAGCAATTCTTAAAATTAGATTTTAAACAAGAGACTGTAATAAGAGATGAGGAAGGACACTATATCATAAACTGTCTCTCCAACAAGAAAATCTAACAATTGTAAATACTTATGCCCCTAACAGGGGAGCAGCCAATTATATAAACCAATTAATAACAAAATTAAAGAAACACATTGGTAATAATATAATAATAGTTAGGGACTTTAACACCCCACTCACTTCAATGGACAGATCATCTAAGCAGAAGATCAACAAGGAAACGAGGGCTTTGAATGACACACTGGACCAGATGGACTTCACACATATATTCAGAGCATTCATTTTAAAGCAACAGAATGCACATTCTTCTCAAGTGCACATGGAGCATTCTCCAGAATAGATCACATAGTGGGTCTATATACTGGATCACAAATCAGGTTTCAACTGGTACCAAAAGATTGGAATTATTCTAATGTTCAATTCCAGACCACAATGCTTTGAAACTTGAACTCAGTGACAAGAGGAAATTAGGAAGGAACACAAATACATGGAGGTTAAAGAGCATCCTATTAAAGAATGAATTGGTCAACCAGGAAATTAAAGAAAAATTTTTTAAAATTCATGAAAATGAAAACACCAGTGTTCACAACCTTTGGGATGCAGCAAAGGCAGTCCTAAGAGGGAAGTATACAGCAATACTAGCCTTTCTCAAGAACCAAGAAAGGTCTCAAATACACAAACTAACCTTATACCTGAAGAAGCTGGAGAAAGAATAGCAAATAAAGCCTAAACCAAGCAGGAAACAAGAGATAATAAAGACTAGAGCAGAAATCAATGAAACAGAAACCAAGAGAACAGTAGAAAAGATCAATGAAACTAAGAGCTGAGTCTTTGAAAGAATTAGTAAGATTGATAAACCCCTAGCCAGACTTAACAAAAAGGAAAGAGAAAGTACCCAATTTAATAAAATCATGAATGAATTAGGAGAGATCATGTGCAACACTGGGGAAATATGAACAATTTTAAGAACATATTATGAGCAACTATATGCCAACAAATTATGCAATCTGGAAGAAATGGGTGCAAACTGAAACAGGAAGAAATAGAAAACCTGAACAGACCCATAACCAGCAAGGAAATTGAAGCAGTAATAAAAAATCTCAACAAACAAGAGTCCAGGCCCAGATGGCTTCTCAGGGGAATTCTACCAATCATTTAAAGAGGAACTAATGCCTATTCTTCTGAAGCTGTTTCAAAAAATAGAATGGAAGGAAGACCTCCAAATTCATTCTATAAGGCCACCATTACCTTGATCCCAAAACCAGACAAAGACCCCATCAAAAAGGAGAACTACAGACCAATATCCCTGATGAACATGGATGCAAAAATTCTCACAAAAATACTAAAAGGAGAACTACAGACCAATATCCCTGATGAACATGGATGCAAAAATTCTCACCAAGATACTAGCCAATAGGATCCAACAATACATTGAAAGGATTATTCACCACAACCAAGTGGGATTTATTCCTGGGCCACAAGGGTGGTTCAACAAATCAACATGATTTGTGGTTCAACACAAATCAATAAATTTGATACATCACATTAACAAAAGAAAGCACAAGAACCATATGATCTTCTCCATAGATGCAGAAAAAGCATTTGACAAAATACAGCATCCTTTTTTGATTAAAACTCTCCACAGTGTAGGGATAGAGGGAACATATCTCAATACCATAGAAGCCATATATGGAAAGCCCACAGCAAATATCATTTTCAATGGAGAAAAATTGAGAACTTTTCCCCTAAGGCCAGGAAGATGACAGGGATGTCCACTCTCACCACTGTTGGTCAACATAGCAAGTCAATTCAATGACTTGAATGCCAAGTCATTCAAATTGGCAAGGAAGTCAAACTCTCATTCTTCTCAGATGACATGATACTTTATGTGGAAAACCCAAAGACTCCACCCCAGAATTGCTAGAATTCATACAGGAATTCAGCAATGCGGCTGGATATAAAGTCAATGCACAGAAATCAGTTGCATTTTTATACACTAACAATAAGACAGAAGAAAGAGAAATTAAGGAATCAATCCCATTTACAATCGTACCAAAAACCGTGAGTAGTTATTTAATCTAAGTCCTCAGCTGATGAGAACTGTCACATTCCTTTATTCTGGTCATGCTTTGTTTTGTTTGTTTGTCCATAACGGTTACAGAGAGCTGGTGAGCACTGTTCTGGCCCACTGAAATGCTTCTGGGCTATATACACAGTTGACTCTCAGGGTAGATTATTTTGTCAGGTCAAATCAGCCCTGGTTTCAGTTAGACTTTAGGTAGGTCATATCTACCATCAAAGAGAAGATTTTGTCTGCCTCTTGCAAATGCACAAAACCCACTCTCCCCAGGGGACAGTTATTTCTGAATAATGTCACAGAGAAATCAGGGAGCTTAGTGTTACAGGATTTTGTGTCCCCTTAGCGCCTGTGGTTCTTGGCCACGCTGCTTCGAAGTCTGGTAGACCAGACTTGCCCGTGATATTGACAAATGTTTTTGTGGTTGTCTTATTTTAGGATGTTTTGCAGAAGTCATTTCTGCGAAGGTTGCAAAGCAAAATGTCAGTGTGGTGGTAAGCTGCAAAACAGGATGTCAGCGCTATTTTATTTTAGCTGTCCTGACTCCATATTTTCTTGTTGGGGTCCCTGGCCTTACCTAACTGTTCAAATCACTCCTAACATTAGGAAGTTTTTAGGAGGCTTTAGGGATCTTCTATTTCCTCTTCTTGATCAGGAGAGGGTGGGACTAGATGGTTTCCAGGTCTGAGACTAAAGGCTCTTTAACATGAGGGAGGGTATATATAGGGTGCTAGGTTACATTTGAATTTCAGATAAAATACAAATACTTTTTTAAAAAAGAATTTTATTTATTTGAGAGCAAGAGAGAGCATGAGCAGGGGGTGGGGAGGGGCATAGGAAGAGGGAGAAGCAGACTTCCTGCTGAGCAGGAAGCCCAACACAGGGCTTGATCTCAGAACCCTGAGATCATGACTTAAGCTGAAGGCAGATGCTTAACAGACTGAACCACCCAGCCATCTCACGAATATTTTTTTTAATAAAAATATGTCCCATCTAGTAAGTGGGACATAATTATACTAAAAAGTATTGCAGGGGATGTAGTTATACTAAAAAGTATTCATTGTTTATCTGAAATAAAAAATAACTGGGCTTGCTATATTTTATCTGGCTACCCTATGGAGGAGGGACCAATACTTAAAATAAATGCCTTCCCAGGGAGGAAATCCTGAGATTGGGGAAAATAGAGGCCACAATGAACAATGACTTTTTGAGGAGAGGAATGAAGGTGGTTTCTTTCATGCCAAATAAGTAATCACAGATGACCCTGTCAGAAGTCCAGACTCATGACTAACATGGGACTGGAGACAAGGAAAAGCAATTTAAAAGATTAAGAGCCAGAGAAGCAATCTTCACACACAGGGCCAGCCAGCAGACAGAACAGTCCCATCCAGAAAGGTAAGAGCATGGCCTTCTCGCCCATTGTTGTTGTCCAAGAAAACAGGTTTTGGGGGATTCTGGTGGGCTCCTCTGCCCTCCCTCATTGCTTCCCTGATGCTTGGCTGTCAGCAAAATTTCTCCTTAATGTAAGTCTCCAGCTTCTGAGGGCTCATGAAGTCTCCTCCTAAATCCTGTTCCTAGACTGCCAAGAAGAAAAGCAGAGAACAAGGAAAAGCAGTTATTCAGGCTGCATCCTGCTTGTGATTCTGCTTGTGTATTCTCCTATCACTTGAAAGACTGCTTCTCTTGGTTTGGGATGAGGTACATTTGTTGTCCCTACACTGTTTGCCGGGTTTACATAGATTTACAAAAACAATTTAACACAGAATTGAGTTTTGTATCTGTAATTTTGAACACAGGGCTCACCCCTACATTATTCACCTGAGATGATCAGTGAGTTCAACTATAATTTCTTTTTTACAACTGGGAAGGAAAAGTTACACACAAAATGCCCCAATGGAAAGGGTTCATGTGGCAAATTCCCTGCTCTGTTCTCCCACTTCTCTCCTACTTTTTTAAACAGGCTCATTAATATAACTCTATTATCAGACCTTTGAAATTCATGAGAACCAGAGGGAAGAAAAATACACAATGGCAAGGAGAGAAGAGAAACAAATCATTGTTGGTTTCCAACCAGCACACTTTAATCATGACCTCTGCAGTTCATGAACTTTTTGTCTATTTGTTTGTATTATGGTTTAAAATTCTGTATTATAATATATATGTTCTGTGCATATGTGTGTATGTATATATATACATACATACATATTTAAGCCCTATTCATGAGACTTGAATGAGGGAGAAACAAAAATTCATTTCAGTGGGAGGGAAAACAAATCATTAGACAAAGTCAGGTTATGGGAGTCCTCATCTTGTTTTGAGTAGGGTGAATGAACATGGAGAAGCCCAGGCATTTCCTTTGTTGGAAGGTAGACTTGGAGGATGCTGTGCTCAGCCACATACTCATATGTTATCTAACTGTCTATATGGCCAAAGATTGATATCAAATTAATATCTTTGGTGAGAAATAACTCCTTTTATTAACCAGTCTTGTGCCAGGGAAAGTAAGGAATGAATAAAAATGCATTTTATGGGGGTACGGTGGCTCAGTTTTTTAAGCATCTGATTCTTGATTTCAGCTCAGGTCATGATCTCAGGGTGGTGAGATCAAACCCCACATTAGGCTCCACGCTGGGCATGGAGCCTGCTTAAAATTCTCGCTCTCCCTCTCTCTCTGCTCCTCTCCCCCACCTCTCTAAAAATAATAATAATAATAGTAATAGGGGCGCCTGGGTGGCTCAGACGGTTAAGCGTCTGCCTTCGCCTTGGGTCATGATCCCAGGATCCTGGGATCGAGTCCTGCATCGGGCTCCCTGCTAGGTGGGGAGCCTGCTTCTCTCCCTCTGCCTCTGCCTCTCTCTCTCTCTCTGACTTTCATGAATAAATAAAAAAAAAGATTAAAAAAAATAATAGTAATAATAAAATGTCATATTTAAAAAATGTATTTTGTTTCTCTACGTTTGTGGTATAGAGTCAAATTGAAAGCAAATGAAGAGCACCCCACCCCAATAATAACTCAATTTCAAAGTTTTTTGCTTTTGTTTGTAGTTTCTTCTTTGAAATTAATTTTCAGTTGGTAGAAGCAGTTAGAAACCTCAGCAATTTCCACTTGATATCAATGAAAAAAGCAAGTACAAATCCTTTCACAGAGAGAAGCCAGAGGGTCCCAGCTATCATTAATGTTCACCTGGAAGAATGTCTTTGTGGCTATTTATGAAATGCTGAGTGAGGATGTTCTGAATGTGTTAAATGATGCCTGTGTGCCCCTGCTATTAGGTGTCCTGTGGCCTGTCCCCACAAGATGCCAAGAGAAGAGGCTCACTTCATCTTTGGTTACCCCAAGAAGGGGCACAACCACTCCTACATCACAGCTGAAGAGTAAGTTCAAAACTGAACCCAGTGGGGTTTTCAGTTCACCGTTTGATGACACATCCTGATGATTTCCACAGGCACATGTTTGTCAGTAAATCTCTCTAGTGTTCATTTCTCCAGAGAGTAAAATCCCTGGTAATGTGGTGAGGGGACCCCATGGTCCTACAAGGGGCTCAGGCTTCTGAAGCCATACAGGCAAGGAGATAGGAATGATAACAAGTTGGATCTTGGCTTTTTTTTTTTTTTGTCTGTATTCTCAGTTATTAGGCATTTGCTGTAGGTTCCCCAGATAGAAAACATCTGTCTGGAGCAAAGTGACTCTTTACTCAAGCCTTGTTCTGTCTACTCCACTCAGGCTCCTGGAGATGGTTTGCAGACAGAACAAAGGTGAGTTGCCAAAGAGCTAGTGAGAATGTAGTACAGGTATGTGCAACTCCACCTGCAGACTCACCCTAGGGTGAAGATGTTGGTCATAACTTCTGCATCACAATTTTATCCTAAGGAAAGATGTTTAATAGTATGAATTAATTTTAAATAAGTAGTTATATGAGTCAGCATTTTTAAGTGCTAAGCAATGTATAGTCAGTCTGAGATGCCATCCTTATCTTTAAAAAAATCTTACAGTATAGTGCAGAATTAGGCTCAAGAATAATTTTAGCAAATGTAAGTGCTGTAGTACAGCTGCATGTACTAGAGTACCCAAGAGTGTGGTGCTCTAAATCTGGTTCCACCCTCTGAGTGGAGACGCCAATGGAACAAACGAGGTACCAGGTTTTTATTGGACCATGTCTTAAGTGGTCTGGTCAGAACTTCCTGCAAACTTGCTCTCCCTTGGGAAGGAACTATTGAAAAATCTTTACTAGAGTGAACTAGCAGGGGCAAGCAAGATGTAGAACCCATTAAAGGCACCGAGGAAGAATTTAGGCGGGAAGCATTTCCTCAGAAGACCCTACTGGGATTTTCTAACATCTCTGCATGGTCAGCTGGGAACGGGGATTGGGAGATCTTCTGAAAAAATGTCCCAGGAGCAAAAATATACTCTTTGGGGTATGTTTAGGGTACACATGATGTTAGGTAGGCTGTTGTTTCAGCTTCTTTATGATGATTCAACAAACTGTATCTCTGTGAAACCTCAGTAAAAAGAGGTTGAGAAGTTCTCTCAGTCAAGAGGGCATAAGTCACTCATGGAGCTTGTAAAATGCAGTTTCCCAGGCCTTGCTTCCAGAGAGGCTGATTTGGTAGGTCTGGGGGTAGGGCTCAGAGTCTGCACTTTAACATGCATCTCAGGTGACTCTACTGCAGGAGGCATTTGGTGACACTCTGGAGAGTCCTGCCCAGCTGGGTAGTGAGTTCTTTTGGTGTGTCTGGCTATATCCTGATATTTTCCACTCTGTCAATCATTGGGTACGTGTGTGAATGCAATGTGACTGTGCATAAAAAACTGGAACAGAGCTCTGTCTGTGTCAGGATGTCCAAGGGGATGAACAGAATTGGTGGGTGGAATTGAAGCACAAGCATTCTAGGAATTGAATCAGCTGCCCTCAGTCACAAGAGCCCACTGAATGCTCCTTGTGACAGCTTCATTTCAGGAAAGGATGATATAGCAGGAAAGGCACCGGTTGAGTATCTTAGGCTAGTCACCGTGAATGCTGGTTCTGCCACTTACCAGTTGTACAGCCTTGGGCATTTTACCAGCTTAAAATAATGGGGATACCAACTGTGACATGAACATCATATCAACCTCAGAGGATTATTGTGAGGATGAAATAAAAGCCTATATGTGGGGTGCTTGGCACAATGCTTGGCACAAATCAGTGCTCAGTGAATTACAGAGTAGCTGCTAAGGTGGTGGTGATATTGATGAGTCTTGGTAGGTCTCAGCTTCATGATCCACAAAGTGGGTGGACTGAGCAGCATAATTAGGTCAGAGTTTTTATCCAGCACTGTCTTCCATCCTGTTTAGAGATGGACAGGATAGACTTGATGCCTGAGCTGCCTTGAGAAGGAGGTGGTCAGGTAGGTGGTATAAGGCAAAGATCTCTCCAGGAGAAACCTCAGCTATATCTTGATTCACCTTCAGCTGCTCAATCTCCTATAAATCACCCAGCTCTGCAGAGCCCTTCTTTAGCAAGTCACAGCACTCTCCACTTTGATCAAGCTGTGATGTGGAAAATCAGGCAGATGTTAGCTAATTTATAGTGTTATACTATAGCATAGCTTCAGGCCCTATTTCCAGGGCCTTGTGGTAACTAACCATTCCCATGGGCCACTGGACACATGGCTCAAAAGGCTGGCTTAGATGTCCAGATTGCATCCTGCTGCTGAGGAGCAGAGCAGTCTCAGTGACACTACAGCTTTGCTCTAGGTTCAGCTCAGACAGTTCTCCCCAAGGTTGAGCCCCAGTGCTATATCTTTTAATAATTCATGCCTGGCCAATTGGGAGGTGCTTACTGAATATCTGCAGTCTCTGACTCCATATGTCAGGTGGCATCTCTGACTTGGCAGCCAAGCAGGCTGGAGAGATCAGGCCTCTTATCTCAGCATCCTCAGGGCTCTATCCCCAGCTCCATTCTGACATATCTTTTGCAGATCACTCAGGTGATAACAGAGTAAGCAGAAAGGACTGACCCATCTGGTTTGGTCCTTAGTGATCCTGAACTGGATTCCTGGAGCAAGCAGAGGCCTGAGAGGAGAGAAGCTTGCCTAGTTGAATGTAAATATGAGACACATGTCCCAACAGCTAGGCTGGGCTCTGGAATCCCCATGCAATAGTTATAGTCTTGGAGACCTCTAAATCCCACAAGCCCTATTTCCACCCCTTCAGTTGGAATGTGCCAGCTCTAAGCCCTCAGTGGCTGCTTTACATGCTCTCTCCTTCTCTTCATTACCTTTTCTCCATCCCCCCAAAAAACCTGCTCTGTGGAAAGTTGTGGATCCCCTCATTTTCACTAGAATGTCAATGACCCACAAGAGGTGAAAGTAACAGAGAATTAAGCTGTTAGGACAAAGAAGGATGCATCTTTAAAGATGGCATTTCAGATCTTCAGTTCCAACTGCAAATGGAAAAAAATAATGATGTTGGGGCTAGCATCATGCCCAAAATCCACACATTTATAAATAGTTATTTTAAAGAAGACATTAAATGGCTCATTCATTTTGCAGTTTGTTCATTTTTTATTAATATGTTTGGCCACCCATCCAACTGCCCATCCATCCACCCATCCATCCATCTTTAAGAAATATTTTTTGAAACACCCAGTGTGCCTGACCTTTTCTAGGCATTAAGGACACAAATTAAAAACCAAACCCAGAACCAAAAATCTCATTTGGGAGCTCCTTTCCTAAAAGAGACAGGTAAGCACACTGCCGATTACCACGGAGAGAAGCCAGAATGGGTTGCCATCATCCTGGGAGGGGTTATGCTGAGTCTTTGAACATGATATATTAGTCATGGGCAAGGAGTGAGGGGGTGAGTTTCAGACAAAGAGGACACAAACACAAATGAGACTAACTCAAGTTCAAATCCTGGCTCCATCTTGTGCTACCTCTGTATGCCCATCAGGAAGACACTTAACAACTGAATCTATTTCCTCATCTGTGAAATGGGGATGATAAGTGGTGCCTACTTTACAGGGTTGTTGTGAGAATTAAATAATCTAATACATGTGGAATATTCATCACGGCACCCAGCTTAGAGTAGATCTTAAGTCAAAGTTAATTATTAATCCTTTTTGTGGAATGATAGTTGGGGAAAATATTTTAAACTAGCCCTGATGAAAAGAAAAGATAACTCAGTCTCTGTAAATACATTGTTCACATACGGGTCAGTTGCTACTGCACCTCTTGTGCCTGGAACTTGGGTGCTTAGGCCATGCCAGTTAGCACTACTTGTGTGGGCACACACCTGTGAGGCTCCTAAAGAAGCTCCTGTCCCTGGATATAGGTGCTGGAGGCCTGGTGTGTGGTCAGTGTGGTGCAGGGTGGGGTGGGAAACTACTTGGGGAATGGGATGTGTGGCTTTGGGCTGGCAAAGTCCCTGTGAAGATTGAAGATTGATGCATGTTTCTTCACAATCTAGAACACGGTTTCTGTACCCAGATGGATTTGTCTATTTCTTGGGCCAGGGCTGCAGGGATTGGCATCCTGATGGTGATCCTGGGAATTTTGCTGCTCATTGGCTGTTGGTATTGTAGAAGACGAAGTGGATACAGAAGCTTGAGGGTCAGTAAAATTTCCACTGTTGGGATCCCTCCAGATCCAGGACCCCCTTGCCCTTCTTCCTCTGAATTTCTAGGGAGTGGGATAACATTCTCATGATCACCTTTAGCTCTCATTTCTGGTTCCGATGAGTCTTTCTGTACTTCATACTTCTTGCAGTTCTTCCTTTACTTCTGCCTTGGATGAACCTCAACCAGAAACTTGGCCCGTCTCTTTGGTTCCACTCACAGCAAACTTGAGTGCTTCACTATGTGTGTAGCTGAGCTCTGATAATTGTGGGGTACAGGGGCAGGGGTCCTGATCCTCTTTGCACAGCAAACAGCAGCATGTGAGATGCTCCAGGTCTTCCCAATCCTCCTGGGAATTCCCAATGGTTCTGTTCCTCCATTTAGTGGCCTGCTTATCTCACCTTTCTGCCTTACCGCTTTCCTCCCAGGTTCCCTGGGAGTTCCAAGTTCTAACTCTGTTATACCAAGCAACTTAGCATACTTAGGGCCCACCCAGCCATCACTACAATGAGGAAACAGTCCACCCCTCAGCAGCACAAAGGACCACTGGGTTTTTAAGAGGATCCATTCTCTTTTGATGGCCAATATGATATTGACGGAATTTTTTCTTCTTCTTTTTTATACTTACTTATTATTTATTTATTTATTTATTTATTTATTTATTTATTTATTTATTTTTATTTATATTCTAGTTAGTTGACATACAATGCAATATTGGCTTTAGGAGTAGAATTCAGTGATTCATCATTACATACAACATCCAGTGCTCATAAAAAGTGCCCTCCTTAATGCCCATTACCCATCTAGCCCAGTCCCCACATGCCTTTCTCCATCAACCCTCAGTTTGTTCTCTGTCATTAAGAGTCTCTTATGGTATGTTTCCCTCTCTCCTTTTTTTTTTCTTAATTATATTATGTTAGTCACCACACAATACATCATTAGTTTTTGATGTAGTGATCCACGATCCATTGTTTTCGTATAACACCCAGTGCTCCATGCAGTATGTGCCCTCCTTAATACCCATCACCAGGCTAACCAATCCCCCCCCTCAAAACCCTGTTTGTTTCTCAGAGTCCATAGTCTCTCATGGTTCATCTCTCCCTCCGATTCTGCCCCCCTTCATTTTCCCCTTCCTTCTCCTAATGTCCTTCATGCTATTCCTTATGTTCCACAAATAAGTGAAACCATATAATTGACTTTCTCTACTTGACTTATTTCACTTAGCATAATCTCCTCCAGACCCATCCATTGTGATGTAAAAGTTGGGAATTCATCCTTTCTGATGGCTGAGTAATATTCCATTGTATATATGGACCACAACTACTTTATCCATTCATCTGTTCAAGGGCATCTCGGCTCTCTCCACAGTTTGGCTATTGCAGACATTGCTGCTATGAACATTGGGGTGCATATGGCCCTTCTATTCACTACATCTGTGTCTTTGGGGTAAATACCCAGGAGTGCAATTGCTGGGTCATAGGGTAGCTCTATTTTTAAAATTTGAGGAACCTCCACACTGTTTCCAAAGTGGCTGTACCAACTTGCATTCCCACCAACAGTGTAAGAGGGTTCCCCTTGCTCCACAACCTGTCCAACATTTGTTGTTTCTTTCCCTGTCCATTTTTGCCATTCTAACTGGTGTAAGGTGGTATCTCAATGTGGTTTTGATTTGAATTTCCCTAATGGCTAATGATGACGAATATTTTTTCCTGTGTCTGTTAGCCATTTGTATTTCTTCTTCAGAAGTGTCTTTTCATATCTTCTGCCCATTTTTTTGACTTGATTATTTGTTTTTGGGGTGTTGAGTTTGAGAAGTTCTTTATAGATCTTGGATACCAGCCCTTTATCTGTAGTGTCATTTGCAAATATCTTCTCCCATTCTGTGGGTTGCC